ACAAGACTGAATGGGCTGACAGATCACAGTACAACGTGCCCACCGGCGAGAAAGAAGAGGATGCTATTGCATCGCGAGCCCTTCATGGGAACAAGGACCACAAAGACTTTACAAACTGTACTAGGTTCCCCAACAAAGCCCGAATTGTCTGAAGTCTAATACCTTCATCTAGTAAAACAAATTATCCGAAGCCTTTACTGAACCACTTCAGTCCCCGAGTAGACGCGACAAATACGACGCGAAGCTGGGCACGGTTTCACATGAGGGCAGTATGATCATTTATGAACTCTGGAAAATGTATCCTTTATCCGCATCAATTAGCTTGTCCCGATGTGCTCCGCGACCAATCACGATGCTTCTCTGGGGCGTTTCCGAAGGCATCGCGGTTAAGTTCTTATCCACACAAAGTGTCGACCTTTTCCGACTCGCAGAGCCCCGCCGGCGTCGGCACGGCAAGTGCATCGGTGGTCCAAATCCCGTTAGCATTATGATGCACTCCCCGGTAGCTCTTGTGGGGAGCTCCAGATCACGAAACAAAAAGATGGCATCGCCCGTTGTCGCGCTGCGGTCTGTAGATATACCCTTTTCGCTGCCTCTTGTACTCTTGTAGAGCTCAACTAGGATCGTTCGCGCGCTACCAGGTATTCCAATTGCTTTTCCAGGCAATAGACACTTCAGGATTGGCGCAGCAATACACAGCCAGACACAGTAAACAATTTCTAGACTGTCCTTCACCATGCAGCGCACATTCCATTTTGCAGGCCGCCGCAATGGCAAGGTCATGCGATTCTTCTCTACTACAGCAGCACGACCTGCAATCAACAAGATCTTCCCCTCCGCACAAGAAGCTATTAAGGACATGAAGTCCGATTCCACATTACTTGTCGGTGGTTTCGGATTCTCCGGTGTACCAAACTCCCTGATCAACGAGCTGCGCGACCGATCAGATATCCAGAACCTCAGGGTTGTCAGCAACAATGCCGGCATGCCCGGAGTTGGTCTTGGCCAACTCTTGGAGACAAAACAGATTGGCACTATGGTCGCAAGTTATATTGGCGACAACAAGGTCTTCGAGCAGATGTACCTCAAGGGCGAGCTCAGCCTGGAGTTGACGCCTCAGGGAACCATCGCCGAGAAGTGCGCGGCCGGTGCCGCTGGTGTCCCTGCATTCTACACACCAGCAGCCTATGGTACAATCGGTACGTTTGCGAAAGCATAATCTCAAATTTCCAGCTCTTTAACACCCTCCAGTCCAAACCGGCGAGCTCCCCGTACGCTACAACACCGACGGCACAATCGCCAAGATGGCACCTCCTAAAGAAACTCGCGAGTTCAACGGTAAATCGTACGTGCTCGAGGAAGCCATCTTCGGCGACTATGCTTTCGTTAAGGTGGCCAAAGCCGACCGCCTGGGCAACTGCCAGTTCCGCAAAGCCCAGAACAACTTCAACGAAGCGATGGGCAAGAATGCAAAGATCACCATTGTCGAAGCCGACGAGATCGTTGAAGACGGAGAAATCGCCCCTGAAGATATCCACCTGCAGGGTATCTACGTCAAGCGCGTGATCAAGAGCACTGAGGGCAAGCAGATCGAGCGCACTGTCTTCTATAAGAGCCCTGAGGAGCAGAAGAAGGCCATTTCGGAGGGCACCTCCGAAGCCAGCCAGAAGCGCGAGCGCATCATCAAGCGTGCCGCTCAGGAGCTCAAGGACGGCATGTACGTCAACCTGGGCATTGGTATGCCGCTTGCTGCCCCTGCTTTCTTGCCCGAGGGCACAGAAATTATCCTCGAGTCCGAGAACGGTATTCTGGGTATGGGCCGCTACCCCAAGCCCGGAGAGGAGGACCCGGATCTTATCAATGCTGGCAAGGAGACTGTCACGCTCAACAGCGGAGCTTCCGTGTTCGGCAGTCACGAGAGCTTTGGTATGATCAGGTCTGGCAGGATCGACGTCGCTATGCTGGGAGCCATGCAGGTCAACCAGTTCGGAGGTAAGTCAATATCCTCGATTCTGAGGATACACGCTGACACGTATAGATCTTGCAAACTTCATGCTTCCCGGTAAGGTCAAGGGTATCGGCGGCGCCATGGACCTCGTCGCAAACCCCGAGCAGACCAAGGTCATCGTCACAATGGAACATGTCGATAAGAAGGGCAACCCCAAGATCCTCAATCAGTGCACATTCCCCCTGACAGGGCCTAAGTGCGTGTCGACCATCATCACAGACCTTGCTGTCTTTGACGTTGATCGCGTTGAGGGCTTGACACTCAGGGAGCACGCGAAGGGCGTCACCGTCGATGAGATTAAGGCAAAGACCGAGGCGCCGTTCAAGGTCGCCAAGGATCTTAAGGAGATGGATGTATAAGAGTGCAAAAATCGGGCTTATTGTATCATGACTAGCATTGGCGTTCCGGCTTTGTACATATCTAGATATTCCCATGCATCTTGGTGGCAATTGAACAGCGTAGGATTACCTTTTGATGCAGTCCTCTTGTTCGCTTATCTAACGAGTATCCGTCTGCCACCTTAGGTTCAGTATACACTAAAGTTGCGCTTCTTAGGGGAAAATATGTGCTTGCCTTTCCAAAGATATCAGGTTGTTCATATTGGAGCGCATACTGCCTGCGTAAAATACATGTCTGATGGCATGGTTGTAGCATCATCAGCAAACTACGTCTGATTCATAGATCCGTACCACGCAGATTGGTCGGAGTGTATGGGGCACCTCAAGGTCTCCCTAGATAAGTAGTCGTTATTGAGGTTCAGCCTATGCACAATAAATGCCATTACTATTTGCTATTTTGTTCTTCAGCTTTGAAAACTCGGTCCTCGAATTCTTTGAGCACCCTTTCGGTTGCTTCTACATTCAACTTGACCTGCTCCCGAGTAGTCTGAAGCTCCTTAGCTTTCTTATGAACCAGGCTATGCTGGTTGCCTTCGACTTGGCCTCGCGCTTTCATTCTTTCAAATTGAGCAAGAACAGCATCTATGTGCGCCAGGTCACCTCTTGCCGACTCCCAGCGACTGCGAATGCGCTCTGCTGTCTTGTGTGGCACGTAGGATTTGCTCCAGTCCTCTTCGAGAGGGATGGACTGCATTCCAGGCAAGGGAATTTTGGCGATTGCAGTCACATTCTCGTCTCTAATCTGCGCCATTCGCTTTCTTGCATCAGCTTGCGCATAAGCGATAACGGCGAGACGGGTTTGCGAGTGGACGGCGATGCTATTGAGTAATTGCAACTCGCGGCGTAACAGCTCTTTCTCAGGTTCTGCCTCTGACATCTGGTGCATCTGATGCTCTTTGGGTACCAGTGCCTGCCACACGTATGCCAGCTCCTTCGTTTCGGAGTCGTGAAGCTTGTTCAGATGCTCGAGATGCTCCTGCACTTCTTCCAAGTCTGTTTCAGCTGGATCCATGCAGTATTGGCGGTAGCCTCGCTCGTAGTCAGGCGCTGCAAGCTCTTCATTCTCGAACTCAGCTACCATTAGAATCGGGGGATTCGCGTGCGCTTCCTGTATGTGTTGTCTTAATGAAGCCATTTGAGCGTCCTGGGCATGGCCGTGTTCAACGACTACACTAGTGGGAGTTGCTGCGCCCGATAGCCCCCCAAAAGGCTTACCGAGTATCTGCATCAAAGTGCTTTCTTTCGTGTAAGACATGAGCAACCCTTTTCCAAAACGTGAGAGTGAATCCTTTGCCTTCTCGTCCGAAGAGAGGCGTTCATAATGCGCTCGTCTCTGCATTGCAAGTACCCATTCTACACGCTTTGCCTGGTGCGGAGGACCCCTGCTGAGCGCCCACTCTGCGGTCTTCGCACCGATAGCACATCCAGCTACGGTGATGCCAAAGAACCGCGAAAAGCCACGGGCACCAGGGAAGAGTCGGGGATTTGATGCAATCAGCAGACCCGTTGCGCCTCCGAACAAGGAGGCATCTTCCAACGTCCATTGCTTGGTGCGCTCCCACAGCTTGAAAGGCTTGGGGTTCTCCAGCCCATCCATCTTGAGCACTGCCCTGTTAAGTTCTTGTCGCCCGTAGATATCGCATGCTGTGATAGCTCCGTCGATTGCGCCGGTGACAGCGACCGTTCTGAGAAATGTACCAGGACGCGCAACGCCGAGGACGGACAAGAATGCTGTCACTCCTGTAGCTATGAGGCATGCTCGGTACGGCGAATCGATCAGGGAAGGCTCGGCGGCAGAGAACCCCAGGCGCGGTTTGCGAGTGAGAGCATGCTGGTCTTCGCCTGCAGTTGTTAGTATACCTGCGAAGAGATACTTCTCTGGCACGTCTCACCAGCAGGCACACACAAGCGTACCATGGTCCACAGTAGTCACTTTCAGATTTGGGCATACACTACATGTGATAATTGTGGAAGACGCATGGTGGGTGCTCAATTGAATTGTTTCGGCGCCGAGTTTCTCGAAGCTTGACGCGTTGACGTAGGCGATGTTGGGGAGCTCCACCAGTTCCCGGCGGGCCCCTAGTGCAACTGGTGTGTCCATCGCACCAGCGCTTGTGGCAATCTCAAGGTCGAGATAAAGATGTATGAACATCATTAATGAATGTTTTGTTGACACAGAATAAAGTGCATTTTTTTGTTGTTCCTCTTTACTATTGTTGATATTTACATGTCACGTCTCGCTGCCCTCAAGCGGAAGTTCAACCGAACATATTTAAATCTGCACATAACATCAACATTTACTTGCACTCCTCGGCTGAGGAAGTGCTGGCATTACCTGTGGTAAGGCTGGTTCTTCTCAGTGCCGAAAGGCAGTCCAAGCTTTCGGTCACTGAGACCCACCTACCCCCACAAAAACAGCAGAACAGCCAGAGGATGCAGAGCTTGGACCTTGTGTCAGTCTGGTGTTCTCTCAAGGGCTCCGGGTCGGCGGAAAAGGGGTAAAGCCGTATCTCAACCACCAGAACTCCGTTTACTTTGAAACTTGGAATATAGAACCACGACCTTATTCTCTCTTCATCAAAGCTTCAGAAGCAGGTCTTATGGTCTAGTGGTATGATTCTCGCTTAGGGTACCTAAGTAAACGTGCGAGAGGCCCCGCGTTCGAGTCGCGGTAAGACCCTTTTTTGTGAAAGTTGTTTCATGGTGTTTTTGTCCCTTCTGCGTCCCAACAACACCTTTTTACACCGGAAATGCACCCAAATGATCGTCTGGATCAAGGAGATCATTTTGGTACCATAGTATATTGGTGCTTGCTGTTGCGTTGTGCTTTGATCGAGAAAAAGGCGTCCAGAGCATGGAGGTGAATACATGATCAAAACGCAGCAATCGCGTGATGCAGCGACACCTGGTCAAGGCTACGATACTCTGCACACATGCCAGTGGCTTTGCTGAGCTGCACTGCTGCTGGCGGGAATTTTTTTTATCGTAGTGTGAGATGCTTTCAGGGGTAAGGTTGGGCCATACACTCGGCCACACCAACGTCACGGCACTCAACGAACTCATGAGGGCTGAACAGACAAATGGTAATAACTCGCTTTGATTTATTAGCCACGGGAATTGAAATGGAAATCCAGGTGTCAAGCTATCGTATTGTGGAAGACGTCCCTGAGCTGCAGCTTCCAGGCGTTCAGGAGGTACGCCTGCCGCTCAAACGCTCCTCCAATGACTGCGACAAGATCATCTGCCTCTGAGACTCTCCATTCGAACGATAACGCGCTATTATGAGCGACAATGGTCGACGCCTCCGTGCGTCCAACCACGGTCTTCCCCAGCTTCTTGGTACTTTTGATGGATTCAATTCTGGGGTGCACTAGCAGAGATTGAGCCTGCCAACAACACTGTCATCTTGATGAGTCCTTCTTTTGCGCTCCAAACGCCAATCTGAGATGATTGACACTACACACAAAGTTTTGTTGCAACATCGAGTGGATACCCAATCTCAGACGAGATGCATGGCAACAATTGTTGTATAGATCCGTGAAATTCTGAGGTACGCGACTCCGCATTGTTCTGAGGAACACACACCGGTATTTACATGGCATCAGCACACATCGAGCTTTCAGCTTTGACAAACCATCGAGAAATATTTAAGTGTGTTCACCCAGCCTTGAGCACAATAGTTCTGGAGGCGATAGATGAGAGAGAGCAAACAGCAAAAGCTGTCCACAAAATGTGAAGCCATCTTGAGGAGGTCTTCGTTTCCCCAGGCTACAGTAACGAGAGATGAATGGCTCCAGTCATGTCGATATTTTTTCAACGGACCAAATGGCTGCTCACAGCTAGTAGGTAGAGTGTATATTGCTGAGCCTGCATTGGACAATGGACAGTTTGATGCAGCAGCTGTCAACCATGGGTAGCAGATTTCGATAGCCTTTTTGGAGACGGGCTTTCTAACACAGGCCTTGGCGGCAAAGACATTATCATATCGACTGATGGAAATCTTGCTTTGTTCAATTCATTGGATGCAATCAGTACCCTGAAGACCAACACTGTCGAGTCGTTGATGAAGAAGAAGAAGAAGAAGAAGAAGAAGAAGAAGAAGAAGTTGCAGTGTACCATCACTACCTGGCAGCAGAGCTACGACTGGATCAGAGTATAAAAAGCTTCACACTTCCTCTTGTCAAGTTCACGCAATCCTCGAAGAGCAAGGTACTCTACGACATCTTCCTGACGACTTGGCAGTCATGGTTTTCGCTTAGCTCCGACATTGGTGACATGCATGATGAAAACAAACAGTCGGGTTTTTTTTCTTGAAACCGGTAGGCGAAGCGCAGACGCTCTAATATCGTTCTACAATTACTTCGGTCAATGTGAAGCGTGGACTCTATTTGGACCCTTCAGCCACGAGCTGGTCAAGCAGCCTGATCCTATAGAATGGTCACAGAATCCAGGAAGTTGTTCCGATCGTTATGATGAGAAGGATGCGACTGAGCCCCAAGCGTCCACCTAGAAATGAAAGGATACTATCAGCAGGGAGCAATAGCGTTAGAGGACTGATAAATTGCGTTGCTATCTCGAGAGCTATGTTTCTTTCATTTTCAGGCTGAGCAGTGCTGGAGACCTCCGATTGAAGCAATGGATCTCATCATCTCGCATTACAACATGTGCACAGAATCATTGAGCATCGAGTGGCATAATGTAAGATGCGCAAGATGAATAAGAGAAGCGGAGTGAAAGAAAGGTAGCGAGCATAGGTAGCTTCTTATGAGCGTGCATAACTTGCGAGTGTCAATCTCCTCTTGATCTATCTTGACTGGATTTTTGGCCCATATGCTGGAACAGTTGCGATAGATGCTCGTGAGCCTGACTCAGGTGGGGCGTACTATGCAGGCTAGGTCGGTAGCTTAGGCGGTACCAGATGGCAGAACTTTTAGATCTCGAAATTCTAAAGCGATGGCACGGCCGCAACATTCGCAACCACCAAGCCCGCACCCCACGATTCTGGAGGTCTGAAAAGCTGAAATTATCGGAACAGCTTTAGATCACTTCCGCGATCAGTCTCACATAATTTAGAGACGCGCGACCTCCAGGACCCGGAATAGCCACAGAAGAGGCGGGGAAGCCTGCGGAGCTGTCAAGATGCCCAAGAAAGCTATGTATGTGAAAATACACCACATAAGATCTCACAACGCTAACAAGTGCACAGCGACTCCCGTATTCCGGCCCTGATTCGTAATGGTGCTCAGGTTTGTTTCCTTCGAGCTGCTGTTCGAGAATCCAAGCTCACACCGCGCAGGAAAAGAAGCGAAGCTTCTTCGTTGTGGTTGGCGATCGCCAGAAGGATGTCATTGTCAACCTCTACCACATTCTGCTGAATGTTGACGTCAAGCTGAACAAATCGGTTCTCTGGGCATACAAGAATAAGCTGCTTGGCTTCTCGAGTCACAGGAAGAAGCGCGAGAAGAAGATCAAGAGCGAGATCAAGCGCGGCATTCGCGACATCGATACCGAAGACCCATTCGAACTTTTCGTCTCGACACAGAACATCCGATATGTTTACTACAAGGAGACGGAGAAGATCCTTGGTAACACATACGGCATGTGTATCCTTCAGGACTTCGAGGCCCTGACACCGAACCTGCTGGCGCGTACGATTGAGACAGTTGAGGGAGGAGGATTAGTGATTCTGCTGTTGAAGGGCATGAACAGCTTGAAGCAGCTTTACACAATGTCCATGGACATCCACTCGCGGTACCGCACCGAAGCGCACAGTGACGTCGTCGCCCGTTTCAACGAACGATTCCTACTCTCCCTTGGAAAGTGCGACAGCTGCTTGGTGGTTGACGATGAGCTGAACGTGCTGCCCATCTCAGGTGGTAAGCACGTCAAGCAGCTCGCGCCGCCGGACCCAGAGCTTGAGGGCAAGACACCCAAGGCAAAGGAGCTGGAAGAGATCAAGGAGTCTCTGGCGGACACACCACCGGTTGGCGACCTTGTGAAGTTGGCAAAGACGGTAGATCAAGCGAAGGCCCTTTTGACGTTCGTGGACGCGATCGCAGAGAAGACACTGCAGAGCACTGTGACTCTGACGGCGGCGCGTGGTCGCGGAAAGTCTGCTGCGCTTGGTGTTGCTATTGCGGCCGCGATTGCACACGGTTACAGCAACATCTTCATCACATCACCAAGTCCCGAAAACTTGAAGACACTTTTCGAGTTTGTCTTCAAGGGCTTCGACGCGCTTGGTTATATGGAGCACCAGGACTACAACATCTTGCAGTCGACACATGCCGAGTTCAACAAGGCAATTGTACGTGTCAATGTGCACCGACAACACAGGCAGACGATTCAGTACATCCAGCCACAGGACGCAAATCAGCTGGGTCAGGCTGAGCTGCTGGTTATCGATGAGGCCGCGGCAATTCCTCTGCCGCTGGTGCGCAAGCTGATGGGCCCATATCTGGTCTTCATGGCCTCGACAATCAACGGCTACGAAGGCACTGGACGTTCGCTCTCTCTGAAACTCATCAATCAGCTCCGTGAGCAATCTCGAGGGCGAAAGACTACCGGCTCGTCAACTGTGGTGGATAGGGCAACAGGAAAGGAGAGCAAAGACGGGACAGAGCCTTCAATGGCCGGCCGCTCACTGCGCGAAATCACACTTTCGGAGCCCATTCGTTACGCCCAAGGTGATTCTGTAGAGCGATGGATGAATGATCTCCTCTGCCTGGATGCTACCCTGCCACGATCGAAGCTGGGTACACAGGGCTGCCCCCACCCTAACGAGTGCCAGCTACTCCACGTCAACCGCGATACCCTCTTCTCCTACAACCCCGCTGCCGAGAAGTTCTTGCAGAAGATGATGGCTCTTTACGTTGCCAGTCATTATAAGAACACACCCAACGATCTCCAGCTCATGTCCGATGCTCCCGCGCACCAGCTCTTCGTTCTCACTGCGCCGGCCGAAGACAACAAGCTTCCCGAGCCGCTTTGCGTCATCCAGGTTGCCCTCGAGGGTCAGATCAGCAGAGAAAGTGTCCTCAGCAGTTTGAGTCGCGGACAAAGAGCGGGCGGAGACCTCATCCCCTGGATTGTCTCGCAACAGTTCCAAGACGAGAACTTTGCCTCGTTATCTGGCGCACGTGTTGTTCGTATTGCTACGAACCCCGACTATGTCAACATGGGCTACGGTTCGCGCGCACTGTCTTTGCTGGTGGACTTCTACGATGGCAAGCTTGCCTCTCTGTCTGAGTCGGCGCCCGCGGAGATTGAGACCATGAAGCGTGTCACAGAAGAGGACCTCGAGTCTGCAACCCTCCAGACAGATAGCATCAAGGTCCGTGAGGCATCCGAGATGCCTCCGCTTTTCGCTCGCTTGTCTGAGCTTGCGGCCCCCAAACTCGACTATGTAGGTGTAAGCTACGGATTGACGAGCCAGCTGCACAAGTTCTGGAAGCGTCAGTCTTTCGTCCCCGTCTACCTGCGCCAGACGCCTAACGACTTAACCGGAGAGCACACTTGTATCATGCTGCGTTCTTTGGAGACAACATCTTCGGATGGTTCGTGGGTGGCAGCCTTCGCAAAGGACTTCCAGAAGCGTTTCCTTTCCCTTTTGTCTTTCCAGTTCCGTACCTTCCCGTCTGTTACATCTCTTAGCATCGAGGAGTCTGCATCCCACGGTGC